CCCCGCCCCCTCCCCTACCCTCACTTAACCCTCAAAACACGTCTTCTGTCATCATTAATCCCGCCCACCCCTCAGTCGTGATCCGGTCAACACTTTCTAAGTTATCTCCCTTAGCTTCCCTTCGCAATCCCCCTGCCTCCCAGCACCCTTCTCCGACTGCACGCACAGCATCTTATTTCTCTTGCTTATTGTCACTAACTCATTTTAAGAAGCGATTTCCCACCTACAATACAATCTATCTATGGTTTACAGAGTGGAAGTGAAATACTGTCATGATCAGAATGTTTAAAAATCAAATCAATTTGTCACATTGAAATGGTTGTAGGTTTAAAATAATGCACCGGAACCGCTGGTTAAGTGTTGACGGTACGCCGGATAATCTTTAAATAGATGTACATCCTTTTATTCGTGAAGCCTCTCGTCTTTGAATGACGTCAGCGATAAACCACCAAATTTCCCAAAAAGCTCACTTAAAATAACAAGCCAAAGAGACTGAAGGTGTTCGCGGAACAATTAGTTATGAGTATGCAAAAAACATGGCGGTATTGTTACCGTAATGAAAACTGGAAACATATGATTTGGGGGAAAGCGGACATCATACTTAAGAGAGCAGAATAGATTTCTCGTGGCTATAAAACGTCACAAATGAGATTTTTGCATCAAGAGTAAAGTGAGGTCTACTTTAAAACCTCGAGACCTTTCCATCCTTTTTATATATATCGCAAATGGGGGAAGAAGGAGGGGGTGTCATAATATAAACACCTAAAACGTTTTGATTCAAACATACAAATATGCATACTGTCCCTGTGAGTAAGGCAAGAATAGATACGGTCTAAAATTCGTCACCACGTGACCTTTTAATGCACATGTGGTATTCATTACACTTTCACTATCCCAAACCAATACTAGGCTAAACTGTTTAGAGATATTTATCGGATAATGGGTGGATGATGCCTAGCTTTGTTATCCATATACAAATGTATATCCTGTCACAAAACCGGCGCTGAAATGCATTTCATATGTGTAACACACTGTTCTCGTCCACTCTAGCATAACGTATGTTTCGGGTACTGTTTTCTCAAGTAAACCATTGTGAAAAAAAGCAGTCTAAAATTGAAAAGAACTGACAACGTATGGTAGAATATTCATGGTAAAATATAAATATGTATTTATTTTTATGGAAACTAACGATGAAGCTCTATGAAAACTTTTGGGAAAGTAAAAAATGTGGTAAGGTTATGTGTCGACGCAACATCCACCAATGAAATTGTTGAGTCACGTTTGTGGTATTTTATGCAATGACCTCATAACACCTTGTCATCATCTGCACAAAAACTGTGAATCTTAGTAATGATCTATGGTGCCTCATTAGCACTTATTTTTAAACAGAACTTAATGAAAGTGTTTATATGCACTTTTTGTTCGGTTACAATTTAATCCAAGTACTACCTGGCATTATATTATAAAAACGTTACAATGTATTATGCAATTTTCGTTGACAAAATAATATATGTTGTCATCGATCAGATTATACTTAGTATGGTATACATTTGTGAATTTATTTCAATTGTCATATTGTGCTAGCATTTTGGTCACAGACAAACAATGTATGTTCATGCATATCTATACATATATCAACTACGAATTGAACATTCATTAATCAAAGGCTTGTGGATATGTTCTTGTAACTCTACAATTCGGAGGAAATAAAGAAAAATAATAAGAACGTCACCAGAACTGCGCGAAACGTAGAACCAGATATTGCAAAATGACGGATTTGACTGATCGACCGTTCTTTAATGTATACAAAGAATGCAAATTCGACACAAGTTCGATCAGTTAACGTAAAATGTGTACGGCATGTGCATAACGTTAGACTGAGATGTTTGTATTCTGTTAACCATAATTATAGCTTGCATGATATCGTTCTTTCTCTCTGTTGGACACCCAAGAGAAATGAACAGGAGGACAGCAACGTAAACCTAACGAACGGGTGGACTATATTATAACTAAAGGGATGAATCGTTCGTTTGAAGGTCAATGAGGTTCAAATATATAAAGCATAAGGGATTTTTATATGAAAAAAGTTTTTGTTTCTTATCTTTCTCGTCCTCTTTCTTTCTTTTTACTTTTTGTTTCCGTTAGTGACTCCCTAAGCTCCCGTCCTATGATTCCGGCTGTTGCGAGGACGTTAAACCCCAAACAAACAGCCAAACAAACAAACAAACAAATGAAAAATAGTTTGTACAAGGTTTATAACATTACCAAAGCACTGCACAGTGTATCTTAGATACCTTGTATCGTATACTACAGAGTGTATGAAGCGCTGACAGCTAGAGGTACCGGGGTTTCCAATAGATTATACACAATGCTCACCTTTCCCGAGTGAATATTACGGAATGTTATTCACCTGTTGCGAGGTCACGCCCCATTTGATTGTAAATTAATGAGAAATGTCACGGAGCATTGCTAGTCATATACCAAAGTTTTGAAATAAGCCACGTCTATACGTTTGGCACGATCGGTGTCAGG